TGAGCATCTTTTCATTTGTGTATTGGCCATCTGTATACCTTCTTTGGAGAAATGTCTGTACAAGTCTTCTACCCATATTTTAATTGCATTGTTTTTTTGATGTTGAGTTGTATGAATTCTTTATGTGTTATGGATATTAACCCCTTATCCTATTTATCATTGCCGAATATCTTCTCCCATTCAATAGGTTATATTTTTGTCATGTTAATGGTTTCTTCACTGTGCAAAAGCTTTTTTCTTTGATGTAGTCCCATTTGTTTATTTTTACTTTTGTCACCTTTGCCCAAGGAGACATATTAAAAAATGTGTTGCTGAGACTGATGTCAAAGAGTTTACTGCATGTTTTTTTTTTAGGAGTTTCATGGTTTAAGGTTTTACATATAAGTCTTCATTCCATTTTGAATTTATTTTTGACTATGGTGTAAGAAAGTGGTCAGGTTTGTTCATTCCCTCTCTCCGTCCCTTCCTTCTCTCCTTCCCCCGTCCAGTTTTCCCAATGCTGTTTATTGAAGATTGTCTCTTCCTCATTTTATATTACTGCCTTCTTCACCGTAGACTAATTGAATATGCAAACATTGGTTTTATTTATGGGCTCTCTATTCTGTTTCATTAACTTGTGTGTTTTTAACCCTGTTTTTAACCATAATGTCATACTACCAACCTCTCTGGCTTTTTTTTTTTTTTTTGAGGGAGAGGAAGGGAGGAAGAGAAACATCGATGTGAAAGAAACATTGGTCAGCTGTCTCTTGCACACTCTCTGCTGGGGACCTGGCCTGCAACCCAGGCATGTGCCCTGATGGAATCGAACAAATGACCTTTTAGTTCGCAAGATGGCACTCAGTCCACTGAGCCGCACCAGCCAGGGCTCTTTCCGTTTTTCTGTTTGTTCATTTGTTTGTTTGTTTTAAATCGACACTTTTAATTTAATTATTTTTAACTATTTACTACCACCTATGTGGTAAAAAAATGTGTACTCAGTGAAAAATTACTCATCTTCTAATCTCTTTCATAAAGGAGAACATTAAACTAGTCTCTTGTATGTCCTTCCAGAAATTTTCTAAGCATATAAAGAATGACATGTATTTTTCTTTCCCCACTCCAGTAAAAACATTAACACGGTTCCATAATTTGCTTTAAAAACATCTTGGCTCTTGTTCCTTGTTATTAATTATAGAATTGCCTCATTGTTCTTAGTGGCTGAATTACATTTCATTGAATGAGTATGTCGTAGTTCATTATCCATTTGCCTCCTAAATAACACTTAGATTGCTACCAGTGCTTTACTGTGGCTGCCGTGATTGACTTCACATGTGTATGACGTGGCTTATGTGCATCTGTATGATACATTTGTAAAAGGGAATACTAGGTTAAAGAGTATGTGTTTTTAAATTTTTGATAGCCCTTGCTAAATTGCCTTCCATAGAAATTGTACTAACTTACACTCCCACCAACAATGTGAGGGTGCCTCTTTCTCCATAACTACTGTCTCAAGTAGATATTTTTTGATCTTTGCTATTCAGTAAAAGATAGTAATTTACATTTCTTTTATTATGAGTGAGATTGAATTGCTTTTCTTGATCATAAGATGTATTTGAATTCTCTTTTCTGGAAATTATCTGTATATGTTTATCAGGCATTTTGTTTGTTTCGTTTTTTAATGGCTGGTTAGATTTTCAAAAATTATGTGTCGATTCTTTCTTTTACTGTGTGTGTGTGTGTGTGTGTGTGTGTGTGTGTGTGTAGATAGATAGATTTTGGAGAGAGGGAGGGAGGGAGGAAAGAGAAACATTGATTTGTTTCACTTACGCATTAACTGGTTGATTCTTATATGTGCCCTGACCAGGGATCAAACATGCGACCTTGGCGTATTGGGATGATGCTCTAACCAGCTGAGCTACCCAGCCAGGGCTAAACCCTTTCTCATATACATATATATTCTTTAATATATATTTTATATATTTACATTATTTTATTTATATTTATATATTATTTATATTTATTTATTTTATTGTTTATGCTACTAGAGCTGTCCCATATTTTTTCTCACCTTTATTCCCCTCCACACTGCACTGCCGTCCCCCCCTTAGTTCATGTCCATGGGTTATATATATAAGTTCTTTGGCTTCTCCATTTAGTATACTGTTCTTAACCTCCCCCTGCCTATTTTGTACCTACTATTTATGCTGCTTATTCCTGAACCTTTTCCTCCACTCTCCCCTCTCCCTCTCCCTTCTGATCTCCATTTCTGTAATTCTGTTCCTGTACTAGTTGTTTGCTCAGTTTCTTTTGGTTTTGTTTTTTAGGTTCAGCTGTTGATAGTTGTGATTTTCTTGTCATTTTACTGTTCATAGTTTTTTGATCATCTTCTTCTTAGATAAGTCTCATCAACATTTCATATAAATGGGGCTCAGTAATGACGAACTCCTTTAACTTGACCTTATCTGGGAAACACTTTATCTGCCCTTCCATTCTAAATGATAACTTTGCTAGATAGAGTAATCATGTAGGTCTTTGTCTTTATGACTTTGAATACTTCTTTCCAGCCCTTTCTTGCCTGCAAGGTTTCTTTTGAGAAATCAGCTGATAGTCTTATGGGAACTCCTTTGTAGGGAACTGTCTCTTTTTCTCTTGCTGCTTTTAAGATCTCTCTCCTTATCTTTAATCTTGGGTAATGTAATTATGATGTGCACTTGGTATATACTTCCTTGGGTCCAATCTCTTTGGTATTCTTTGAGCTTCCTGAATCTTCCGGAAGTCTATTTCCTTCACCAGATTATGGAACTGCTCCTTCATTATTTTTTCAAATAAATTTTCAATTTCTTGCTCTTCCTCTTCTCTTTCTGGCGCCCCTACGATTCAGATGTAGGAACATTTAAAGTTGTCCCAGAGATTCCTCAGCCTCTCCTCATTTTTTTGAGTTCTTGTGCCTTCATTCTGTTCTGGTTGAATGTTTATCTCTTCCCTCTGTTCCAAATCAGTGATTGGAGTCCTGATTTCCTTCCCTTTACATTTCTTTTTTAGCTCCTCGGTTGTTGGACTTCCATACAGTTCAATTTTCTGGCAGTTGTGGTTATCTTTTGTTTTTAAATTTGTTGTCCTTCTTTTGGTTGTGCAAGGAAACAAAGTGTATCTCCCTACATCTCCATCTTGGCCGGAAGTCCTCTACATCCTTTCCTGTAGTAAGGAAATTAGTCCCTTGTGGTTTGCTGTTAATGTTGTTTTCCCATATTACTTTTTTTTTTACTAAGTTTATTGGGTTTTTCCCTTGTAGAAATAGTTTGTTTTGATGTAGTTGAATTGTCAGTTTCTTTTTTGCCTTTTGCGTTTTGCATGTGTCTCAGAAGGTCTTTTCTTACTTTGAGCTTATAAAAAAATTGCCTCCTGTTTTCTCTTTGTTTTTTGATTTAATTTTTTATCTTTAAATGTTTATTTTGTGTGAAATTAGTTTGGGTGTTTAGAAGCCAACTTAATGTTTCTCCCCCCTCCCCACCTTTATATGGCCATCTCATGTCCCTGTCATTTATTGGATAACTTCTCCCCCATTGGTTGTAATGTTACTTAAATTAACTACTGCATAGTATTCATATCTGTTTCTTTGTTCCACTTATCAGTTTGTCTATCAAATCCATTATCAAACTTGTAATTACTTCACCTGTATATTTTAATAGCATATAGGGCTAATACCCCCATCTCATTACTGTTTTTCTCTTTTTTTTAAGATTTTTCTAAATTTATTTACTTTTAAAGGAAGGGAAGGACAAAAGAGAGGGAGGGAAACATCAATGTGTGGTTGCATCTCATGTACCCCCCTGCTGGGGATGTGGCCTGCAACCCAGGCATGTGCCCTACACTGGGAATCGAACCCGCGAACCTTTGGTTCTCAAGCTGGCACTCAGTCCACTGAGCCACACCAGCTAGGGTTCATTACTGGTTTTCAGTTTTTTTTCTCCTTGCATGTTGGTTACTCGATATGATTTAGAATTTGTTTTTCTGGTTCTTAAGACATTATTATTATTTTTTAATAATTAGAGAACTATTTAAAGACTATTCTCTGCCAGCATTTTTCATAGTGCATTTTGGAATAATGGTCCTATGAGAATACTTTCTTTAAGGAAAACTCCATGTCTAATGTTTTGAGAAATGCTGCACATTATAACTCCTCTCTAGAATTTACACTGCATATTAATGTATCAAAACCTCTGAAAGGTTTAGTAATGAAGAAACATGTTTTAACTTTTCAAACTGAGATTTCCAGATGTATGTGATCACAGAATCCTTATTTTAGTAAAAATATTCCTGCAGGATATTCTGTAGAATGTATATTCAGAAACATTGATCTATCGTGTATCTTTTCCATCCACTAATAATCTGGCTACAACTTATGTCAGTTTCTCTTAAAACTATTCTTGCCAGGGATGCTGGTGACTCTTTGTGAGCAAACTCCATAGATACTTTTATTTTTTATTTTTTTAAAGATTTTATGTATTTATTTTTAGAGAGCGGGAAGGGAGGGAGGAAGGAAGAAAAGAAAAAGAAAAGGAAGGAAGGGGAGAAAGGAAGAAAGAAAAGAGGTTCAGTCCTAAAACTTGTACAGTGCCCAGAACAGTAGGCATTGGAGAAATATGGTTGATTAATCAATTCAGCCATCTGCTTTGGTAGACTGATACTAAAATGAGTAGCAGTTTTAACCTGGCATACCAGTGTATTCCCCTCTCTCCAACATACCACATTTTGTTTTGTTTTTTAATTTTGATTAACTTTTATTATACTGCTTGCTCTGCCTGAAGTTTCCTTTTCTTCCTTTCTGAAGAGGTGGTTTAATATTTTATGGAATTAATTAACGGGATTGAATTTGACTTGATAAAATGGTTTTTTGTTGGTATCAGACAACCTCCGGGTCCTGAAAAGTCTACTTTTTAGTGTAACTCCTATGAATTGCTTGTTCAACTAAGTAATTTGTAACATTATTTTCAACCTGATGTAATGCTTTTCTTTTTCAGCTTGTGAAGCTTTGTATTGTGATGATTGATACTGGAAAAGCCTTTTGTGTTGCAAATAAACAGTTCATGAATGGGATTCGAGATCTGGCACAATATTCTAGTAATGATGCTGTAGTTGAGGTTAGTACTTTAAAATTAGTTAAAATGATAAATGCAACAAGATATCAATCAATTATGTATCTATTTACCTTGGAGTTATATAGTGATCCTTAAAATTAGAAGTAGAACACCTGTCTCCCATTAGTACTATCTTACATAATTCTGTTTTCTTGGATGGTTACTAGTTGATGGTTGATTTACATTGTGAATATAAGTTTACTTACTACTTAATGAGCTGAAGCATCTACAAGAAGGCTTGAGCAGGAGGAGCAGGATCTTGCTTACTAGTAGCTGCTTATAGAGTAAAGCAGAGCATTAATCTAAGAATAGTATCTAACTGTATGTATGGGGGAGCTGCATAAGAAAGTTTTGGTCAGCTACCTGTGCTAGGTTAGCCTAGACCCCTTGCTATATACTATGGCATTATGGCATTGCTTTCATGAAGAGTAATTACAGGTAAAGAAATGTGTACAGTTTGATGAGTATTTGATACACAGATGCCTAGTCTTGATACACTCAACTTATAGGTTTATATACGCCATTCCTATTTGTTAGCATAATACTATTGATAAGGCAGTAATAACTCAATGACTGTTCTAGGGTTTTATGTTACTACACGGAGACACAACCTCTGCAGAGCATGCAGTGAGGTAATGAGATTGTCCTTAGAAGTAAATGTTATTGTTTACAGTGTAATTTGATCTTACTATCAGAAATGCTGAAGTATCATTTTTTGGCCTTTTTAGTGGCTCTTAAATGACTTGTTTTTTTCTTTCGGTTTCTTCCTCATAGACAAGTTTGACCAAGTTTTCTGACAGCCTTCAAGAAATGATAAATTTTCATACAGTAAGTGTCAGTAAGTAAGTAATACTATGACCATGTTATTTTAGTACTTTTTTTTAGTGACAGTATTTTACAAAATTACTTAAGTTGGAATTCAGTGACTTTGAATTTGTCAACAGCTTTTTAGTTGAGTATATCTAAAATGTGAGAGAGAGAGAGAGCGAGAGAGAGAGATACATTTTATTTTCCGTTCTTAGATACTGAACTTTGAGAATCAGTGAAGTACACACCCATAAAAGAAAGGTACAACTTTCTTTTAAGTTGTACCTTTGTAACTTTTTAAGCAGTTATTTCAAGAATAAACAAGTAAAAGTCATTGTGAATTTAATTACTTCTTATTTCTTTTAAGATACTTACAAATATATCTATCCCCTTTGATCATTTTCAAAATTAAAGACTGCTATAATTATTTGATGTATTTATATGTGTTTTTAATATTTGAGGACATTTTCCCTTCAAGAATGAGAAATATGTAGTACTTTTGGAATGTCAGGAAATTCTTTTATAAATTTTATAAAAGTTTACTGAGAGTATGGTAGCTTATAAGCTATATACTTTTTTTTAAAGCTTAACATATATGGCTGTTATAATTATTTATTCAGTGTTTAAACATTTATTAGCAGCTGTCTATAACAAATATCAACACATATTCCTTATGAAATCTGCTAATTTTTGGCTCTTAATTTGATTTTTCTTCGTTTTTTTCTTTTTTATTATTTCTTGGTCAATATATTAAGGCTTGAGTTACCTGATAATATTTATTTTAATTGTAGTTCAAATTGTACCTGTACCAAAATTAGCATGATACAGGTATCTGCTTTAGTTCCTGCTTTCAGTTCTTTTGGTTATATATCTAGGTGTAGAATTGTGGGGTCATATGGTAATTCTGTATTTATCTTTTTGAGGAACTATTAAATTGTTTTCCACAGAGGCTGCAGCATTATACATCCACACTGCAATGTATGATTGTTCTGATTTTCCACATCCTTGTCAGCACTTACTTTTCTTTTTTTCTGATTATAGCCACACTAGTAGTTGTGAAGTGTAATCTCTTTGAGGTTTCAAAGGTGTTAAAGGTTTCGTTTCCCTAAAGACAGATAAGCATTTTTTCATGTACTTATTGGCAATTTGTGTATGTTCTTCCACCATTGTTGCTATTGTTGTTCATTGAAGTCCTTTTTCCATTAAAATTTTTTAATTGAATTATTTATATATTCTGGGTTAAACCTTAATCATATATGTAATATTTATGTATTATGACATGTAAATATTTTCTCTCATTCTGTTGGTTGTCTTTTTACTTTTTGATAATGCCCTCTGATTGCATAAAAGTTTTAATTTTCATGAAGTTTAATTTATCTATTTTTTTCTTCTGCTGCTCCTAACTTTGGAATCTATTGCTAAACTCCAGATCAGGCTTTATCCCTTTGTTTTCTTCTAAGAGTTTTATGGTTTTAGCCCTAATATTCTGTTTTTAATGATTTCTTACTAGTTCTCTTTGTGCCTTCCAGTAAACTTAGATGCCAGTGTATGGGTATGTTTATTTCTCTTGAAATCAAGTGGTCTTTTGGATTCCAACTTCTTAAAAAACATAGTGAGATTTTTTTTTTTGTTAAAAGCTATTGATTTTATATTAACGTAATAGGTTAAATGTTTTCTCCATAATATATTACCCTTTGTAATAGTCCTGTTTCTGATAATTTCTTTAAATTAGTCAGTCATATATTTTTGTTTTATATAAGAATACCTTTCTAATTTTATTATCATATTCTTTTTTTTACAGCATCTCAAAATTTTTCTTTTAATAGATATAAGTATGAAATTGCTAGGCCTTGGTTCATTTTCTTTTAATTTTCTTTTATGGTTGCTATACTATCTACTTTACATAGTCTTTTTTGTTTCTTGTTAACAAACACTTTTAGTTTTTTCCAGAAGAAGTAACTTGTGTGTACTTGAATCAGAATTCTTATTTTTGTGGGATGAATTAAGATACATGTCCTAATTTATTGTTATGTCCTTCAGTACTTGAATAATTCTGATCCTAGAGAAGTCATTTAATTTTTCTAAGCTTTACATTCTTCCTCTGTAAAATGAAGGGGCTTTACTAGATGACATTTAATTATAAAAGTTCTGTAATTATGAAGTATTATATATTATAAAATTTATGTATGATCTTAGAGCCATTTATTAAAGTGTGAGGAAAACCTAGTTATATAAGAAGCTTTATTTTAGTAGCCTTCTCTACAATGAAATTTTAATTACAAAGCATAATAGTATGAAGAAGGCTTTATGGGATAAGACAAACTGCTTTCTAAAAGGTAACCAATATTGGAATTTGCTTTATATTCTATCAGAGTTCATAACACTTAGGTTTTGGTGTATCAGTTTGTATCAGGATAGCAGGTTAGCTTTTCTAGAGATGTCATTTATAAATAACTTTGTGGACTTAAATAGATGTTTGAAATTGAAGAGACAGACATAGATGGAGAACAAATGACAGCTAATGGGGGTGAGAGGTTAGGGTCTGCAGGGACTGAGGAAAAAGGAAAAAGGACTCAGTCATGGACAGCAGTGTGGTGATGACTGGTGGGTCGGGGGGAGTATAAGGGGACTAAATGGTAATGGAAAGAAATATAACAAAGATAAACCAAAAAAAGAACCATTTGGGTTATTAGCCAAGTAAGATTAAACATAGATTGGGATTAGTCACTTTAAAAATAAATTATTTGGAGTCTTTTGTGATTTACTTCCTCTGTGAAAATGGATAATACTGTTTCTTATTACTTATAGAATGAGAAGTTGCTAGGATTACTCTTTAACTCACATATCTTTAGAAGATGCCAACTCATGCCTTTTCTAGAGCGGTTCATGTATGCCACATTCTGCAAAGTACTAGAGTTGATTTAAATATTGTCTTGTTTTCCTGGAACATAAATTCTGTAACCTCACTGATGACACTTTTGGATTCTAATATGCTATTGACACAAAGAACTTGGAATATTTATTATTCTTGCTGAGTGAAACTTAAATTGCTGCATAGATTCTATGAAATTCTGACTCTTTTTGTCTTGTTTTTTTTGGTAAGTGGGATTTTCTCTGTTATAGTCATTCTCTCACTCAGCAAATGGTTGTAGGTAGTGAGACGAACAGTAGTTGTGTTTCCCAACTGCTGTCATCTCATGGCACAGATAGAAACTGATGGTATATTTGTATGGGACACTGGAGGAAACTGCAGGGGAACATGAATGTGTCATGTCCTGTCAGGGTATTGGTGAAAAATATTTACATTTTTTATGGAATTATGTTAAAATAATTTAGTTAACATTTAATAAAGAATTTGTTGTTTTAGATTTTATTTATTTTTAGACAGAGAGGGAAGAGAAGGAGAAAGGGGGAGAAAAACATCAACATGTGGTTGCTTCTCACATGCTCCCCACTGGGAGCCTGGCTTGCCACCCAGCTATGTGCCCTGACTGGGAGTCGAACCAGCAACTTCTTGGTTCGCAGGCCGGCGCTCAGTCTACTGAGCCATACCAGTCAGGGCAATATTTAACAAAAAATTTGTTTTTTATAGAATTATGTCAAAATAAAGCACAGTGTTAGGGCAGATATTACTTGTTGACTATAATAGTTCCATAATCGAGAACAATTAAGTAAGCCATCTTTTAAAGTCAATAACTGGCATTAAACAAATTTTTACGTTGAGACTTTTTCCTCCTAAACTTGTGAATTCCACTTTGAACTTATAAACTTAGGCAAAATTTCTTCCTTTGGACAGTTTGTATACTTTTGTGTGAAATATCAGGGTGATATTCTAATATCATTTCTATACTAAAAGCTGAAAACAGATGAAACCAAATGTTTTAAATATTTTTTATATTCATGCATCATTTTGATAATATTTGGAATTCATATCTGCATAGTCCTTTACATATGAAAGACCCTTTGTGAAATAATGTATTACTAGATCCTCAGAGTTTTCCAAATGATTCTTAATGTAAATTTACATCTTGCTGTCTTTGGGGCTGTACTATCAATATGCAAAATTACAGAGTTTTCATTGTATCTTTTCATTTGTTTTACAGTTTTCTTATAGCATTTTGAGGATATCATCCCAAGAGTTTGTATTAGTACTTTGCAAACCAAACACTCTTCTAAAATAATCTTCTATTCAGAAATTTTAAGTGTTGCTGTTAACTTGAACACAGTTATTAACATGTAGAATTGTCACTCAGCATTGAGGACATTGATACAGTTGTCTTCTGGGTTAGTAATTATTACTGTGCTTCTCTGGCATGCCTGTCAAATGCATCTGTTAATTCTTCTATTCGAATGTGGTACCCCTTATATTTCCCTTCTTTGAAAAGTTACAAAGTTCTGACATTTTCCTCGCAGACTAGTATACTGGGCAATTTTGCAATTGTATGAGGCATTGTGGCTCCAACTCTTACTTAGGTAACTTTGTAACTAGCTTCTTAATATGATGTCTCATAAGAGAATTTTTTCTTATTTTGCAGAAGTTTAGAGTACAGATGCTTTTTTCTGTATACAATGGATTTTGAAAAGATTTTGTTTATTTATTTTTAGAGAGAGGGGAAGGGAGGGAGAAAAAAAGGGAGAGAAACATCCATGTGAGAGAGAAATATTGATCAGTTGCCTCTAGTACACATCCTGACTGGAGACTGAACCTGCAACCCAGGCACGTGCCCTAACCAGGAATGGAACCAGTGATGTTTTGTTTGGTGGAACGATGCTCATTCAACTGAGCTACACCAGTCATTGAAGGGCAGTGGATTTTTTTGTATTGAAGTCCTGTATGATTTGCTTCTACCATTGCTTTACTTAATAACTCTTGGATATATAAAGATATTTAGGTTGAAGAAGAGAATTTTGATCTCTTGTGTCTGTCTTCTGAATGTAGTAACTTTCATCACTACTTAATGAAAAAGCTGACGATTATGGTGGGAAAATAACAGTAAAAAGCAAATCTGTTTAAATATGAA